AGCTCATGCAGTCAGCCTGGCACCTCCTTGAAATTCCCAAAACACTTAACAATAAACTTTGATTGGAAAGGAAGATAGTTTAGTTATTAAGAAAAAAAAAATGTATGTTGCTTCCTGCCTAAAAGAATTGAAAGCAGGGACTCAAGCTGGTCCTTGTTCACCCCTGTTCATGCAGCACTGTTCTCAGTAGCTGAAAGGTGGGAACCCCCTTGTCTGTCAGCAGGGATAAGCTAAATGTGGCACACACATACCATGGAACATTATTCAGCCTTGGGAAGGGCACTTGGTATCACGTGGTTGAACCTGGAGGACATTATGCTAAATGAAATACGCCAGACACAAAAGGACTGATACTATGTGATTCCGCTTGTAGGGGTCTGTAGAGCAGTCAGATTCATAGATGGAAGGTAGAATGGTGGTGGTCAGGGCCTGAGGGCAGGGGCATGGACAATTGCTGCTAATGGGTAGAGTTTCAGTTTTGCTAAATAGCGAGAGTTCTCGAGGTTGGTTGCACAGCACTGTAAATGGACTTAACACTACTGAATTGTACACTTAGAAATGGTTAAAATGGTAAATCAAGCCAGGCATTGTAGCTTACGGCTATAAACCCAGTACTTTGTGAGCCTGAGGTAGGCACATCGCATGAGTTCAGGAGTTCAAGACCAGCCTGGGCAACATAGCAAGACCTGCATCTCAAAAAAATTTTGGAAATTAGCTGGTGGCATGCACCTGTAGTCCTAGCTACTCAGTAGGTAGAAGGATCACTTGAGCCCTGGAGGTTGAAGCTGCAGTGAGCTGTGATCACGGTACTGAACTCCCAAATGAGAGTCTGGGTCACAAAAAAGAAAAGAAGATGGTAAATTACATGCTATGTATATTTTACCAAAATTAAAGTTCTTAAAAATAGATATTTCAGGCTGGTCACAGTGGGTCATGCCAGTAATCCCAGCACTTTGGGAGGCCGAGGCAGGTGGTTCACCTGAGTTCAGGAGTTCAGACTAGCCTGACCAACATGGTGAAACCCCACCTCTACTAAAAATACAAAATGAGCCAGGTGTGGTGGCACGTCTCTATTCCCAGCTACTTGGGAGGGTAAGGCAGGAGAATCGCTTGAACCAGGAGGCGGAGTTTGCAGCAGTGAGCCAAGGTCTCGCCATTGCACTCCAGCCTGAGTGACAGAGCAAGACTCCTCAAAAAAAAAAAAAAAAAGAAAAGAAAAGGTTGCTCCTTGCAAGGCATTGGCCGACCAGCAGCGGAGCTCTTGTCAGTTTCAGTACAGTGTCGGGAGCAAGCACTTGGGTGCATAGGCTGCTCATGATCTACATAAGAGGTGGTCCTGAGCCTCAAAGAGTTTAGCAGCCATTCTTGATTCTTCAGCTAACATGAGCAGTGAATCTTTCACATTAGAAGTTAACCTGTGTGGGTACGCCTGTAATCCCAGCAACTCAGGTGGTCAATGCTAGAAAGTCACTGGAGGCCAGGAGTTTGAGACCAGTCTGGGCAACATGGTGAGACCCCGTCTCTACCAAAAATTAAAAAAAGAAGAAATTACCCTTAAATTTCTCTCTCTAACCCAGCCTCAACTTTGCACTCAGGCAGTAACCCTTTGTACAACGTTCCTGGTACCATATACCTCCTTATGCAGAACCCTCCAGGCAAGGACAGGTCACTGCTGAGTGAGAGAGCTCTGTCCTTAAACACTGCACTCAAAACTACTTCCTTCTAACTTTTGTCCCTTGGTTCACATTCTGCCTTCCTTTCGATTTGTTACGTGGCATGGTTTACAAAAGGCCCTTTACCCTCCAAGAGATTTCAGTGTCTGTGGTGCTGCTGAGTCTCCTGTGACAGTCCCTACTCGGGCTCTATACAGCCCAAGATTGCATGAGTTTTTACTGGCAACCACTCAGTCAGGCCCCAGTGAATCCTTGTCCTCTGAAGTCGCAGGTAGGAGCTCCAAAAGGGCATCTAGATGTCCGAGAAGAGGATGCTCACATGTGCCTAAGGGTCATCCATGAAGGCTTCGTGGAGGAGGTGGCCTTGGGGATAGATCTTAGAGAGCTCAGAGAGTTTTAACAAAGCTTGGTCTTTGAAGATTAATAATCTTTTGGCTTAATAAATATTTGCATATGTCTTCTCCCAGTCTGTCTCATTTTTTGAGCTTGCTTATAAAATCTTAAAACAAGTTTTAAATTGTGCTGTAGTGGAATCTATACATCATTTCCTTTATGGGTTATTCTGTCATTACCTCATTTAAGAAATCCTTTTCTACTTGAGGATAATAGCGTTCCCACTGTTTTCTTCCAATATTATAATTATAGTTTTCAAGTTTATGCCTTTGTTCCACATTGAGTTTATTTGGAGGCCTGGTATGTGGTAGGAATCTAATTTCATTTCTCTCCAGCCAAAAGTCAGATGGTAGTCAGCCTTTCTCTGTTGGTTCGTGTCACCTCTATTATATTCTATCCTGCACATGCTGAGGTATCTTTGTGGGTCTTCTTTTTCCATTGATTAATTTGTCTATACTCATGGAATTTATTAGCATAGTTTTGTGGTATGATTGATAGCTAGTAGAAGAGTCCTCTTTCTTTGTTCTTTTGGTTTTGTTTATTTTTAAAGTTATCTGACTATTTATGCCATTACCCTGTGTTAGTTCAGTCTTGAGTTGCTATAAGGGAATCCCAAGTCTAGTTAATGCATAAGGAAAAGTAGTTTATTTTGGCTCATGGTTCTCAAGGCTGTAGAGGCATGGCACCAGCATCTGCTGGGCTTCTGGTGAGGGCCGCAGGAAGCTTTCACTCAGGGCAGAAGAGGAAGGGGAAGCCAGTGTATTACCTGGCAAGAGGAGGAGCAAGAGAGGGAGTGGGAAGTGCCACACTCATTTAAACAAGCAGATCTCTCGAGAACTCAGAATGAGAACTCATTATCGCGGGGACAGCACCAAGCCATTCTTGAGGGATTTGCCCCCATGACCCAAACACCTCCCACCAGGCCCCACCTCCAACATTGCGGATTACATAGCACCATTAGATTTGGAGGGGACTAACATCCAAATGAGATCAACCCTTTGTTGTGAGGTTTAGAACTAGTTGGCCAAGTAACCAAAAATGATCTTGGAATTTTTATTGGAATTACATTGAACTGAGTAAGTTTCAGAGAAGTGATGTCTGTGCAGTATTAAGTCTCCTCATCCACAGGCAAACTGTTTTTCTCCATTGACTCAGACTCTTTTTATGTCCCTCAGTGAAAGGTTATAAGGCTTGCACCTTCACTTCTTTTTTATTTGTTGGAATATCCAATATTTAAGTTCCAGACCACAGAACAAGTCTACAGTAATAAAAACTGTAGTAATGGAAAACAGGTTTTGAAGCAGTTTTGGGGGAACACTGTGCTAGCTTTTATTTATTTTCTCTTGTTGGGTAACTCTTGTATCAACAGTATTTTATACAAATGTGACACTTGACATTGCCAAGCAGTCCTTAAGGCACACTACAGGAGACTCCTGCCCCTTTGTTGACATCTGTTCTATCAGCATTTGGTTTAGCAGTTAGTTGTTCACCAAATAGTAAATCCAGTAATTGCATCATGCATATGCTTATTTGTTTATTTATTTTGAGACAGTCTTGCTCTGTCACCCAGGCCTGGAGTGCAGTGGCGCAATCTCGGCTCACTGCAACCTGCGCCTCTCAGGGTCAAACTATTCTCCTGCCTCAGCCTCCCAAGTAGCTGAGATTACAGACATGTGCCACCATGCCCAGCTAATGTTTGTAGTTTTAGGAGAGACGTGGTTTCACCATATTTCCCAGGCTGGTCTTGAACACCTGACCTCAAGTGATCCACCCACCTCAGCCTCCCAAAGTGCTGGGATTACAGGCATGAGCCACTGCACCTGGCCTCATATGCATTTCTACCCACAGAAAAATTATGGAAAATTTTGCCAAATGTGTTTCTTAAATTTAGAATTACTTTGTCTGTGGAATATTCCTTTCCTAATGAATCATTCTTGTTTCTGAAGATCCCTTGCCGTATGCCACCAGCAGTCTGTGTCCGGGTTTTCAGTCTAACATTATGGAAATCATCTCCCCCAACACACTTATTTGCCTGTATCTAGTCTTCTCATGTTTCTTCCATGCCACGTGATTTCTCATAATTTGCTAAAGTGACAGTAGGTTCAGCCTCTGATTTTCCGATATGGTATTTGATCACATCAGCGTTTATGTTAAAATCTCAGTCCATTACTGTTCACAAAAAAAAATACTTGTTTTTTAGTATTGCTGGGAGACTCCTGTCCTGATATATATGATTATTAAAAAAAACCGTAGTAAACAGGCCAGGCGTGATGGCTCATGCCTGTAATCCCAGCACTTTGGGAGGCCGAGATGGACAGGTTGTTGAGCCCAGGAGTTCAAGACCAGCCTGAGCAACATGGTGAAACCCAGTCTCTACAAAAAA